TGCTCTAGCGGAACGGGAGCTGAATGACTTTGACCCCCCGCTGTCTCTGGTAGTCTGCATTTCAATCCCACTAACGCTGATGTAGGAGCCAAACGGGACCACATCCTTGAAAGCTGCATGAAAGCTTTTATTTTGAACGAGTAAATCCATTATAGAAAACTAGAGAATGACAAATCAAAAGTCTCAAGCATGGCAAATGGTGTCATGTACAGTAAATGCCAATAAAAATATTCATAATGATCGCATATTTTGAACTGACTTACAGTTTCTACATACAATCTACGCGACGTATCTATACGGCTATAGGAATGTTCGTGATTCCATTTCTGTAAAGGTTGATAAGCACAATTTCGAAAAGCATTTTATACTTACCGCTTGCGTATCGAAGTTCTGCAAAGTTAGATAGCCGAAAAAATAACAGGGTAACATAACAATTCAACAAATCTTATGACCTTCTATCTCTTCAACTTGAGGATACTTGAGGACGATTTACCCAAACTCATCTACTTAAGTGCTTCATGTAGCTATCGCTTTTTTTATAAGCATGTCTCATTTTATCAACGCAACCTATACGCTTGCCATTTATAGATATATATGCTTGCCTGTAATACATTTTTTTTTTGATAGGGGTTAGCGTTATTGTTTTCAGTATTGTTTTAGACGTTGGTTTTGCTCCGAGATTCATAATCCAAAGAAGGACACGTTATGGATGGCTGCCACTGCCACTGAGTATACGCTCTATTATTAGTTTACGGGAACGTATTGACACCAAGTCGAAGAAATATTGAGTTCGTCGGAGGCGTTATGGATGAGCAAATATATTCCACACCCATATGTTATACGTATATTTAAGTTTGCTTAATAACAATGTATGTGATTCGTATTCAATGAGCATCCTGGAAGGACATCTATACCAGACTCCGAACGTGCCTTTGAAAGAAATTTCTTGTAAAAAACACAAAATAATATCTATATACACAAGCGTTATATATAAGAGGCTGCCAATAGGTTACGTAGCGGGTAGGGCTTTCGTAATCTGCTATCCTCTCTGTTCTTATTGGTAACACTGGCAAATACCTAGCATTTAATATACTATTGGTTCACGTTGTGCCAAAATAGCACTATATAACTATAAACGTTATTGGTACGGCCTGCACCAATCAAGGACTAAGTCAGGGGTGTTTCACGTCGCCTAATAAGGACGAGGTGTCGGGAAAATAAGTCGCACTTCTGCCGCTAATAGTGAGTCGTCCCTGCGAGTCATTCGAGCCAAACGACTACTCAAATTGAGGACGGGTGGAAGGAGCGTCCGAGCTACAAGACTACGGTCTATGGTGGAACGCTTGACAGAGTGTAGAGGAAAGCACGTTGCTAAAGCAATTTTTTCTTGACTACTCGAGATGTGGGCAGTGGATCAGCGCTTTGGGAGACGGCAGCAGGCGTTACGGCTCGTTGCACAAGCGTCTGCTCGGGATTGTTTATAGACTTTTGCCAGGTACTGAATAAGGCAGCAGGCGCCGTGGGATAAGTTCAAGGCCCGTCTATTCGAGAGGTCTCCACGAAAGGCAGTACCTCGCGCAAGAGAATATTGCGTGCATATCCGTCTAAGTGATGAAAACTTGTACAAGCTTATCTAGGAAAAGCGGGTTCTATTGGACCGTGTTGGGTCACCGTTTGAGGCGTTCCTAAAGGACATCAAGGGCGATGCCTGACTTCACAAGCTTTGCGGAGCTTGTATGCAACTACTGGATGCACATCACTGAAGTTAAACTATCGTTATGTAGTAGCATGTAGTAGCTCAAGCATTTTTGCCTGCCTTGGTGTGCAGAATCGTCTAAAGAATCCAAGCGCAAACTGCAGCTAGATACGGTAAATTCGTGTGGCATGGAACAAAGGATGCAAAGCTATGATAATGCCCACCGTGGAATTTAGTCTAGAGGTGGCTGATGGTAGGAGGATATAATGGGCGGACTTCCGTGAGACTCGACGCTGGAGTAATTGCTCCTAGGCTCCTGTTTCAAATCAGGGGAAACACAGTGCAGTTGCAGATTGCGAGGTATCAAGCCGAAGCCATGGTTATGTTCATACACTCTAGGAAGGTAAATGGACACCCATACATTTAAACATCTGTACAGTGTTGAAAGGCTTTTACATAAACCCCACATAACCCCCTAAAAAATAAAAGAAAAAAAAACCGGAAAAATTACGAACAGGTCAGGAAGGTGTGGTGTGGTACGAAAATTGTTAACGCCTAGGGGTCTGAAAGTGTGCATTTCAACGTGTGCTCCCATTCAGGAGCTATAATTACGTAAACGATCGGCTGTAAAGGACATTGAGGAGCGTGTGTTTAAACGTTAACGGGTGTGGTTTCAGCAGTCGAGGAAAAAGATTTGAGTAAACAAAGCAGACTCACGTCTGCTCTGTGTACTATCCCGGCACGCGAGCGGTCCTAGATTTTATGTTAGGACACATAAAAGGGCAGCGCGGCTAAATGTTATGACACGTACCAGTAGCATTGAAAGTCTTAGGTATTTATATAATATATATTTAAATATATATGGAAATATATGACTTGAATCCAACATTACTTGAAATCTGTTTAGAATATCAAATATGCTGTCCTGGGTAGTAAAGTTCTGTCTTTGCGTTGCCTATTTATCTGCAGTGCACCAGGCGGGCTTGTTATCCGTATCGGCCGTAACGAAACAATCTAGATTGAAAACTCCGTAGCTTAGATTCTGTCTATCTGGTCACCAGCATCATCGAGGAGTTTTTGCATTCTTTGCTGATAAGACTCTCTCCATACTCTCTCTTCAGTGGTGTACCCGAATTTTCAGTCCACCTTTCCGTCTTTTTTTCTCGATAGAAAACCTATTTTTGGAACAAAATAATGGAACACTAAATTTTCTAAGTTTCGGCTTTATCGAGGATTGCGATGCGACCTGCAGCACCGTTTAGTTCTACTGTTACTAGTACATAGGACGCTGTAGAGATTTCCTTGTTTCTTCATACCGCCTATTTCTTTGTCCGTTATCTGTCTCGGTCGGTTTATGGCAGCTAGCGCACGACTAGCGTAGAAACGCTGAGCGATAAAATTGGTGTCTTCAATTTTCCTGGCGATTGAGTCTTTAGATTGCGATAGGGATCCGATTTGTGGTGGTAGAAGCCAGAAACCGCGACCGCAGCCGTTATTGTACCAGCATTAATAGCTTTAAGAACAATAAAAACAGGGCCAACAGCAGCAACAACAATTCCTCTATTGGGTAAAAAATGAACCCGATATTAAGGGCCTCCCGTTACTAGTGCACCCGCGATTTGCGGGTCGGCCAAACAAATCTATGCATAGTGAAGTCAGTAGAGGACCAGGAGACAGAATTAGAATTTGCACGGCTTAACACTCTGTTATATGCACTGATGTTTGCCTGTCGTTGTCAAAGGCCATATTGAACCTAAAATCATCAATCCCTAAAATTTTGAACTATGTAATGTTGATTACGGTGGATGTTCCTTTCTTTATAAATATTTTGTGTCACATCGTAAGGATTTTTGCGTATATAGGCATTAGAGTGCATTTGCAAGCGGCTGAAGAGATACACGAACCACATTTTGGCTACCTCAGATACGTTAAGTTTGCATCGGGGATCTATATTTGAGATACTCATAGGGAGAACCTTAATACAAGTTTAATTTTATGCGGTCTTGTATGTAGACTCTACAGATGGATAATGGATGAGATTGAAACTGGGTTATTTCACAAAAACTTCCCGTTTGTAAGTCTGGCCAGCGAAGTGTCGAAATATAAGAAAGCTTAATGGAACTCAATCCTGCATCTAAGCAAGGTATTTTCACTACCTATTGTACGCTTGCTAAACTAAAATCGATAATCCGATAGCTTTATTTCAGAATAAATGCTTTTATAGACTAAAACGCTCGAGCATTGGGCTTTGATGTCCTAGCGCGTCTGTGAGGCACCTTGAGTTCAAAAAAAGGGATCAATGGCTTTATAGATAGGAAGGTGACCAGTAGGATATTTCGTAAATGCTGGTGTCGTTTTTTTTCTCAAAGTGAGGAACGAACTTGTTCTTGCTGTAAACGACGTACTTTGATGGGAAGGTCACCATCTGCATGTGTTTGTGTTGAGTTCATCGCTAATGGCTTTACTCCATGGCCGACCAGTTCATGAAACACCGACTGAGCTGCACCCTCGTTAGTGGATCGTTTTGTAAACGAAATAATACTTTATAAATAATTTATATCGTTTGTGGTGAAATGTATGTAAGTAAAATCGTCGTCAATAAGAATTCATGGAGTCCGAGTTACAATGGTTATAGGTTTACAGTAACATAGAAGTTTCGATCGTTTGGATGAAATTCGTTACCAAAGACAACTATTCATAGTCTACTCCCATATTGGGACAATCGGGAATATTTGTTTGAGAGTTCCAAGTAGTTTGCTGGGCATTGCCCATTACCTGTACTTATTTGCCGCTGGGGGGCTTTAGTCCTAACGAAAAATCTTGCATTATCATACCTTTGAACAGCACTGGTTAGGTTTATTGTTCCCACCTTGACCTTCTGTGCATTTTAGTGATGGAGTACAACAGCGAAGTAATAAGGCTACTTTTTTTAACCCGAAAGTCTTGCTATGATTGCCAGAACTATGTACCTTAGAAGATTTTATTGTATATGGTTATACGAGGTCTTGCTGGCCTAGATGCTTACGAATATGTTAGAAAAATGATTAATTTAAGCAAAATAATACACCACTGAAATAATGCAGATACATTTTCTGGAGTCCGTATTGATCCTCTTTTGAATCTTGTCCTGCTGGCTGTTTTCAATAGACAATGTCAATTAGCGCGCTTCGTTTGAATAACAAACATAGTATATTAATTATATAGAAATATTTTTCTCAGCACGATTTTATTGTATTATAACAGTGTAAGTTATTTTAATCGAAGCTGGACCTTCGTTGACCTGCTTTTTCCTCTGAGATCACACTCGGTTTATACCCATCAGAGAATCCCATGTACGATACGTGCGTTTAATCAGGTCTCGTACATATATATTAAATGCTGTCCGATCGAGCTTTGTAAGGCAGGGCATGGAAGGACGAAACGCCATATATCACAGACGAACAGCCTCCTCTTCGAGGCTCCCAATCTTCCAGAGCTAACGTTTTCTAGGCATTCGAGTGAAAGCGAGCCTTTGGCTTAGTCGAGCCAAGGTAAGGCCACCAGACATGTGTCGTGGCGCTGACATGTTGCCTTCGCGTAATGATAGCCTTCATCATATAGTTACGCCCCGTTGGCGTGACACACTCGAAATTGCCCACTTGAAGACTACGAGATACAAATAGTCACACAGAAAATACAAGGGCATTAACACGGGGATAGTGTGGATAGCGCCACGCTCATGTCCTAGATGCGGTATTTATCTGCATTGTTCTATCAGTTTAGATCCTACGTTATGTTATCGCGTATTCAGTGAGCAAGCAAAAAAAGAAATAGTGGCGGGAATGTATCGTTTTTCGCTAGCTGTCTGCATAATTCGTGCTAAAAATTAAGTAGACGTTAGCTATAAGGAAACACCGGAACGTCAGCAAACACGAAATAATTGAAAATAAGTGACGCCTTCGTAGTTTTAGTTTAAATTTAATGCAACGATTTCGAGCTCTGAATAAATTTCAGTTTCGTATGTCATTACTTGAGCTGGAGAAACGTCCTACACATCTGAAGGCCTTAGCACAAATTACCTATTTTTTAATTATTTACTTACTAGCAGTAATTTCACTTCCCAAATGATAAGATTACTCAGAAAATAACCCGGACCAAAGAACTTTTCGTGTATTTTCAAATGAGTCAACGCCAAATGGTTGGTTCCTCCGTCAAAAAGCCCAGCCATTCCCCAAATATCCAACGTTCTTTTCTGCTTCGTTACCCACAGTCCTTTATCGCTCGCCCTGTTGAATTCGCCTTTCGATATCTGAAGGTTATTCCTATGTAATAGAACATAAAATAGCTCATACTTATAATTAATGCTATTTGCAGTAATTTTCCGAAACATTTCCGAATAATTTTGCTTATTACTATCTTATTATTTATTAGCTAAAAAAAGCATTATTTAGAGATAAAAGCAACTGCCAAAATTGTCTGACAATGCTTAGCGGGGGGTTTCAGTGATAAAGATCAAAGCCTTATCTTATCTAGCATAAAAGGGTTGCATAGATCCAGTAAGAAAAGAGCATTCGACGACCCCGTCTAGAACCCTATACTGAACGTACAAGGTAATCTTTGTAACAAAACGGCATCGGATATTACGTTTAAATGCTAATGCAGTCTGTTTTATTTGCATAGTAAGATCACTGATCTGATAACCTGAATCCACACTTACAGGGGCCATTTTCACGTAATTTGTGCTATTACAGAGTCCGGTATAACCATATCGACCCGATGGGATTACTGTAAGCAAACTAGACATAACGATACAAAGTGTACGCCAAATCATTAAATCGGTATACATTCTCTGTAACGTTACGTAACGCTATCAACAACTTTATATATAGAAATAAGAACATTTCCGTAGTAGTAGGTCAGGTTTCTCAAAATTCTTAACAAATCATATATGTTTTGCGCATATACTGAAACAAGCAGATAAATGAGAAATTCTTACCAACATATCCGCGTATAATGAAATAGGTTAGGACTGGTACAAATAAGATTGGCAAATAGCATCGATGGAGGAATAAAGCTACATATCTATACGACAGACGCTATTTCCTAAGGGAAGTAATTGGATCTACGGTAGAAGTGTTTTTTGAATTGGCTTCAGTGTTAGGTTCTGTAGAATTCCGTTGGGTCAAAAAAGGGTCATGGGTAATGTATTTACCTGCTAATCTTATGGCGTAGATTCGCACGCTGGTACAGATAAATAACCTTCGTTTCACGTTGGCTAGGAGCCGGCCGTCTGATGGAATGCCTAACGGCGATACCGGACGTAACTTCGAAACACAGAAACATAGAAATCTTTTAAACGACTCGAAGTATCGCACGCTTGCAGGTAGAACGCAATTGTAAACTTATGCGTAAGACGTATTCTCAAAGAATTTGCATTTCTACCTAACTACATTAGCAAAAAAATGAAACTATCTTATATTCAGCAAACTCGAGACATAATGGAGCTGTCTTCTGTTGAAATAACTGTTAATGGTTCTCACTGCAGCATCATTTTGCGGCAGCCATTCATCTGGTCTATGGTAGAGAACAGGGGGGAAGTAACTTCGTTTCCCTAAGCTTGCTGTTATTGCTAAACGCTTCATGGTGGTGATATCGTGTGCATCCTTGCTTCTTATGTTCGTATTGTTCGTACATATACTCTGGACTCGACTGAGCGTATCAAGGAAGACGCCTTCGGATAGGCAAAAAGAAGAAAAGGAACCACCAATAGCCGTACGTATTAAGCCACACCGAGCCCTGTCTGGCACAGCGTTGAGTGCTATGGCAATCAAATGACAAGGAAATTTGCTTTTAAAGCAACTTTCCTCTTGGATGGAAACGATAGACCTATAAAGCTTGCAGTGAAAGCAGGCGGGCGGGCGGGCGGGCGGGTGGGCACTCTTGCTTGTTTACTTACCCACATCCACCGCCGGTGACCGAAGGCATGGGGTGTTGATAGAGGAGAAATAGTGATGCTGGTGGCACAAGGTAGACGCATGAACAAGCACGTTTTGCTTGCGAAGCCACCAAAGGAGAATCGGCGACCTACCAGTTCTTTGGGTAGGCATGTTAGATGAAGACGATATTAAATACAGATATGTTAGAATTAACCGCCAGCTACACTATTCAACATGAATTTCATAAGCAAGTCAAATAAAGTTTCTTATATAGAATATCGTAGAAGCAAAATTTTGCCTAGTGGCCACTGATAATCAGAAACTTTGAGTATATCACGAATAGTCTCGCTATTGTTACAGGGAATATCTAAATATTGCAAACGCTTAAATCACAATATGGTGCACGTCATTATTGTCTTATCAACTCACTTGCATGTTTCTCTAAGTGATTGTTGTTGAAGGAACGTTGTATAGCCTCATCAGACCAAGCTATATTTCAACAGGCAGGCTGTGATTTAGTCGTTCTGCAATTGAAAATTGTTATAAGAAATAAGGGACAGGCATCCGCCTCGAACGTCATCGGCTTCCCTGTGGGCTCGGTAGGATTTAATATCTGGTCACAAGGATGAGTAAAACCCTTCGGGCAGCTGGTAGGGGGTATCTTCCTGTGTGTCCGGCAGCATTTCTGCCGACCGCTGAATTCAACAGGAACAAGAACAAATCCATTAAGTCCTCGTGTGTCGATCCGATACGGCGATCCAGATGCTCCTGCTAGGTGTGAAGTTTTATCGGTATTTACTGGTGAGCCCCATAAGTCGAGAAAGCTTGCCCTACATTCAAGTTGGACCTGCTCATTGGCATGCATTGTACGTTGAGAGTGGCCGGCCAGCTGGTGGAACACCAAATGAATATTGCGCTGGGTGCCTCCGGACCCAAAACTTATTCACTTGCTTGTGATCTTCCTGCCATTTTACCCTTATCTGTTCCTTCCCCGATGTGAGCTTCATATTTGTGAAGAGAAAAAGTCTCTTTGCGGGTCAAATCACCAGGAAGACGCAACAATATAACATGCTATCCGTATTCTCATAGTTTTAGATCTGCTTATCATATTTGCTTAAGTTCAGTTACCTGGATGCGCGATATTCGGTTGACCTATACTCAACAACTTTACGAAGTTAGTCAAACCTTAGAACTTTTGTTATGCCTTTGTTCGTTCAAACATCTACAACATAAAAAAACGTGTTCGAATCCGTTAAAGTTATACGCTAATTTTCATAATTTAGGTGAACTTAGGTATATGCGTATATATTGTATAATGGTTGAATACGCAGACGTTCTAAATCCTCGTCTTTATGCTACGCTTTTCTATTCAGTCGTGCTCTTTGCTTTACGGTCAAACGTATACGCTAATTTCTTTTGCAAGGCATTGATTAATTATACATGCTTTTTTTCTTGAAAGTAAATTATAAGTTTCCCGCGCACCAAATGTTTCGCTTTATGCTTATTTTGATATAATCCAGGTTCACGGTCGTTCAAAACCAAAATTCGTCGTTCGATTATCTTTTTTTCTACTTGAGTTTTTAAATTTCCCGCGAGTCGATACAAATACAAGTTTTCTACTATAGTTTTTGCCTTGTTCGAAAACGGTCAAGCGACGCAAGGTCTGGCTAAGCTAGCACCACCCGCTGAATCGTCTTCCTCTCCTTTTAGCTTCGGTGGCAACAAATGTCTTATGATAACATGGTTATTATTTACTAACGTGTTAGCCTAGGAACTACAACAAAAACATTAACATGTCTTTATTGATAGGACGAGTAAAACGGAAAATGTAGTTTGAGGCTTAGCAACGAATAATAAGGGGTGCAGATTGGGATCATGACTCCCTTTCACGGTCACCATGAGTCACTATTTTTTCTTTAATACGCAAAAAGTTTGATCACGGTGGCTGGATCCTAAGTGGCGCTAATCTGCATAGAACATCAAATTCGTAAATTAAAAACAACTTCTAACTGCATAGGTTTGCTTTCATTGATTGGCGAACCTCCAGGGAGTCTACGTCCTCTCTAACCGCTATTTGTACGAGTTACGTCTTACGACACCAAATTGGGTATTACGAGCAACGTTAACTTGTCAAAAAGCTTCTTTAGAATGATGCGGAAGTACGTCAAACTTGTTAACGGGTAAGTAGAACTTATATCTAATAACCTTTGAAAGGATTTCATCTGCGAGTGCAAGAGGCATATTTTCAACTAAGTTTATATGGGAATCAAGTGTATAGTATCATATGACGATACATGAATGATAAATGTTTGTCATTAAAATCTTAAATACTCGTTTTAAACGAACATTAATAATACTATGTGATAGTCCTCCGTTAGTTTGAATAAAACTAGTTTGTTAACTTTTTAAAGTCGCCCTAAAACTTCCTTCTTTTCACCACTCTTGCGACGCCTGTAGGTGCAAATGAATTGCAACACAAGTTGCCAAAGTTTTAACCCTCTATTTGCGCACGGGGGTTTCCGCTTGGAGCGTCCGGTTCCGGCTGTGGGCATACCAAATTAACTAGCACGCTTTCAGCATAGACTAAGCAGGTACGCAGCAAGCACCTAGCTCGTATGTCCGACACGAAGTCCCGGTTTCATGTGCTCGTTTTTCAAATGTAAGGGGGCGCCCTGTCCCAGTGTCACTCAACTTTATGGACTTAAGCAAGCTTCCTGCATAATAGGCTGTTTCTCCCCCGACGACTACCTCCGACCCGCTGGTATAACAAGTGGGCTGAAAAATCGGCTCTCTTGTGAACTGGCGTCTGTTCGACAGCGTGTGCCTTGTCCCCCTTCGCGCACACGTCTTGGCACCTTTCGTCTGATAGCGTTGGTGAGAAGGACTAGGTCCCCCGGGAACTAATTTCCCCTCTTCGCTCTCTCAGGCGGAGATCATTATATGTTTCGAGACGTCCAAGCAATTCAAAGCGACTGAAATTTTTACACGAAGCGTTTATGTGTATGTTGCGTTCGACGTTTACTATTGGCTCAAAGTTTCTAAATATGCATGAGTATAACGAGGCACTTCTGTACCTATAGGGTGTTCCATCTAAATTAAGGCAAAAATGGCATCGTTTGTTTATAGGCAAATAGCAAATCTTTGCAGTCAATGATAGAATAACGAATTTATATCTAAATGAACCACATATACATAGATGAACCTATCTGCATGTTTCAGGAGGGATATTCCTTACGAACACGTTCACTACATGTACCTGTCACCAGCTTCGAGGCTTCTATGATTCGAGTCGGGTATAAAGCACTTGATAGTCGTCGTTCTCTAAACAGGAGAATAATTTTTTAATACTAATAGCGAATAGAACGATGATTCGTTAACGCCCTGCCAAATGTGTCCTGCACGATGTATTTTGCTTATGCCATTAAGCCCTCCAAAAATCCTGGCTTCGAAAGCGACTCAAATGATCAGGAGTACACCTAATAGCGTTTCTGCATCAGTTTATAGTTAGGCTGAAAAGAAATTGGGGCTCTGTCCAACACAGTCTTGATCCGCGGTAAAGGCCCGCAACAAAGAAATCTAGCTTATACAGACGTTCGTAATAGCTCGCTTCTGCTCCCACCTCAAAGCTGAATTTCTCATCCTCGCCATTAAAAGTTCTTGGTTTTGTTCTAAATAAAGCGTTCTAGGCAGAACTGGTTTGATTCTAGCAAAACGTTTTGCGCACAGAATGGCAGATCAACGGATGCTTGCTAAAAGAAACGACCAGTAAAAATAGGTGTCAACCCGAAGGGGCACTTTGTGTTCTTTTTGAGTGCTTTGTTCAAGGCTTAAAACAAATGAACAAAGTTATGCTAGGAAGAAACGCTTTTATATTTATTGTACCACCGAACACAAAATGCTGGAGGTAAATAGCAGCCCCATTAGAAGGAAGCCCGATGGCACAAACTTGGTCGACTTTTCACCTAGCCAAATGCTCTCGCGTGCTTAGTAAAGGTTTGATGTTTTTTGAGGTTACACATAGCTCGACACATGAATATAGCCATTTAACCTCCTTGAAAGATTTATATGCGTTATTATGTTGCATCGTAAAATTCTAATGGAAATTCACAGAGAAGCGTTATAAAAAAAAAAAAAAAAAAAAAAAAGATATTCGTGTTTACTGTGTAATACTGAGGGTCGGCGAGCAGCGCGGGTAGGATGGTCATTGATTTCGGTAGGATAGATAGACAGAAAATGCGTACCACATTTCGTACTCTATTTTCTTTATAATGTATTCAAGTTTGCTGATTCCACCATGTACACAAATACGTGAATATCCGAGATTGTGTACGCCTCCGTCATCTAACCGCATTCATAACAGACGCATGTAATCGATCGTTAAGAAGGGCAAAACGGTAATGGTCGATAGCGGCGTTGTCTAAGTGACTAATGTACATTTATTCAAGCTCGTTGCTATCGTAACCTTGAGCGCGCGCCTATCGCAAACCCATATTTCAGTGGCATCAGCAAATGACTGCTATAGCACATTGTTACCATGGTGCCTCGTGCATTTGTTGGAGAAAAGTCTCGTTGAGTCTAGCAAAAGTCATCTGAAATTACAGCCAACGGCTTAAATGTTAGTCTTAAAAAAACTGAGAGGAAAGTTAC